TAAAAATTTTATTTTTTTAAAATAATTATCAGTTACTATAATAATAATAGTATGGCGTCAAGGTCATCTTTTATCACTTATCATTCACCCTTGAATAACGAACTATCAACATCCTGGAATTAAACGATAGGACGACGACGACAAAAAAAATTTATTAAACTCATTCTTTATAAATTTTTTTCCACGTGATTCATTTACACAAATGTTAAACATAATCGCAACAACTCTTATTAAATTCCGATAATAATATCGCGCTGAAATAATTTTTTACCCCCCCTCCTTCTCACCTCCCCCCAAAAAAAAAATCACTCCGATCATAATTAATTAAAATAAATAATTTGTAATAAATTCAATAAAAAAAATTATTATTATTATTCGATCGATAATGTTAGAAAAACATTTATCATTATTATCATTATCAATTTTTTAAGGTTTAAATTTTATGACGTCATAAACGTATGACGTCTTTATTAAAATGTAAATTAAATTAAGTAAGTGTTCGAAATAGTATTTATTTATTCATGATGGGAAACACACACGCGCGCAAAAAAAAAAAAATAATAAATAAATAGATAAACGTCGATATTAATTATTATTATTATTACTATTATTATTATTATTAAGGTGTTAAACTATATATATAACGAGGGTAATAAAATTTGCTAGGGTAATAAGTAGCTTTAAATCGTAGGTCGAATCCTAATAATAAAAAAAAAAAAAATGAAAATTTAAATCGATAATTTATGTAATTAATGTTTTATTATTAGAGTAACACTAATAAATTAGAATAATAATGATAATAATAATAAGGATTGTACATAAATGAGAGAGAGAGAGAGAGAGAGAGAGAAATAATTAATACGATTGTAAAAAGTGATTATTATTACTATTATTATTACGGTAATAAAAAATAATGAATACGAATTTGTTCCACCCACATTGAATGTCGCGGTGGTGGTGTGGGCGGATGCGGGGGTGGTGGTGACGGTTTTACAATACGAAGTATGTAATAAATAAATTTTCATCTTAAAAAAAATTGTCGTCTGCTTGAAAATATTTTCTTCGTTAAAAAAAAAAAAAAAAGATTCCTGATTGATTGATTGACGTGACTGACTGAAAATATAGAAAATTTATGCGACATCGTAAATTTTCAAGAGAGAGAGAGAGAGAGAGAGGGAGGGAAGGAGAAGGAAGAGAGAGAGAGAGAGAAAACTGTAAAATTCGTTCGGATTATTAATTATTTATTTTTTAAAACAATCGAACGAGAGTTAGGTAGAAGGTATAGAAAAACATGGCGGATAAACGACAGCAAAAAAAAAATAAATAAATATAAATCAATCAGGGACGTATTCAAGATCTTCTTTTTTTTTAAAACAAATCACATTTGGATATTTATCAACCATATACGAATTTAACAAATAAAAGGTCACGAAAATTTTTTTTTTTTTTTAACAAAAACGTCATCGTTATTTTACCGTAAATAATAATAATAATAATAATAAACCATTTTCAAGACGTGTAAAAAAAAAAAAAAAATTAACGCGAAAAAGAGACTGATGTTTAACTTATGGGAAAAAAATAAATAAGAATGTGATGGAATGTATTTACATCGGGATTTGCTCAGTCAAACTGCCTTAACAAAAAAAAATTTATGTATTAATAAATAAATAAATAAAAATTTATGTATTTTATGTAAAAAATAAATAATTAAATAAATAAAATTAACTTAACGATTATTAATAATAATAATACCGAAAAAAATATATTTATATATATTCTATTATTATTAACTTATTGATTTTGTTTTTTGTACTTTAATATTATTATTATTATTATTTATTAAACTAAGAATATTTATTTATTTATTTATTTAATATAAAATAATAATAATAATAATGCATCGCGCAAATAATTGGGGCTGGGGAAAGAGGGTTTGCTTGTTAACGCGTATAAGCTAATAATTATATATATTTAAATAAATAAAAAAAAACATGGCGGAAAGTTATTAATTAATAAATGATATTTATGATGATGATAATAATAATGGTAAATTTTCAACGCACACGCTGTTATATTATATATATAAATATATATTTAGATACACTTGTATATATATATTTATATTTATTAATTTCATGTTATTAATAATTTATAAATACATAATTTATTTATTTATTTGTGAAAATATAACTTGGATATTAATATTAATGATAATGATAATAATAAAAAAAATATTTTTTTAACGTGTGTAACGTGAGAATTAAATTTAAAAAAAAAAAAAAAATTTTTTTTCCTTTAAAAAATTTTGAAATGTTGTAATCGATCAATCGATCGATTGATCGATCAAATAATATTATTTATTAATATATCAATGAATCGATTAATTAATAATGATAATAATAATAATAAGAAAATGAGGTTACAATTTTATTTTATATATAAATATTTGAAGATGTATCTCGCAAAAGACAATCCGTTCGTGTTTTTTCTCCGCGACAAAGTTTCCGCATAATTTTATCATCATCATCATCATCATTATTATTATCATCATCATTATTATTATTTACTAATATAGGCATTAATTAGGATGAGATTTTCCCTATTGTCTTTTTGTGATCGAGCCGTCATATTACATCGATTTGAATTTATTTTAAAATTAAACAATTAAAATTTAATAATAATAATAAAAAAAATAATGATAATAATAATAATGATGATGATGATGACGATAACGATGACGATGATGATGGTGGTGGTGGTAAATAAAACAAACAAACGAAAACAACAAAAACAACAACAACAACTTTAAAAAAAATTTATTTTAGTTTGTTTAATAAATAAAATATCAATGTTTTTGGTTTTGTATTGTTATCATTTATTTTTATTTCTCCCTCCTCCCCTTCCCCCCCCAAAAAAAAAAATTAATGACGTAATAATTTAAAATTAATAATTTAAAGTATTTATTATTATTATTATCACCGCCCAATCGTAAAAATATTCTTCCTCACTCGTAATAATAATTTTAATTAAAATAAACGGTTATGAAAATAAATACCGATAACTGAAATGACGTATGGTATTAATTAAAAAAAAATAATAAAGAGGTCGCTAAAGTGCAACGGTTGACGCGCGCGTTAACATCATGTCAATTTATTTAAATAATATTTATTAGTTTTATTTAATAATTTATTTGTGAGTTATGTATCAAAAGTTGTGTTATTTAGTGTAGTTTATTGTGATATAATTAGTTTTTTGTATTATTTAGTGATAATTATAATTATTTCAAGTTTAAATTTTGCAAATTGTCTTGTGCCTTGTGACAAATGGAAGCGTGGGTAGTAAAAAATCTTAGAAAATGGTTTAGTGCATTTGATTATTTGGGGTAAGTCCTTCATTTTCATGCTTGAATTTCACTTAAAAAACGTTAGACTGACAAAAAAATGGAGCCAAAATGACCAAAAAGCAAAAAAGTTTAAAATTTACATTTATTTAGTTGATTATGAGTAGTTTGACTAATTATCTTCTTCATCTCATCATAAAAAACAAGATGTTGAAGTAATTTAATAGAAATATTTATTAATAATGATTGATTTGATATATAACAACTCAGTGTACAGATTTCTATACTGTAATCTTAAAGAGTTAATTTACTGATTGTTGGTTGTTTAAAGCATTTTCTTGAGTTAGTTTGTTTCATTACAACATACTGTATCATACAGATGATGTAAAACTCTCTATAATTGTAATACAAAGTCAGAGGGAATTGGGTAGCCTTCATGTTAGTTGATTTTAGTGTAAGGTTATATGAAAAGACACTACAGACTCCATTTTATGATTGTACATCTCTTAAGCTTATTATAAGTAGTTGAGCTAAATACCTTCTGTCACATTAAGTAAAAATGGAGGTAATTTAATAATAATACTTGTAATTAATCAATTTATTGTATCAGGTGGATGTAAAATCTTTGTACTTTTGTTTTAAGTGTGAATCTATTGATTGTACATTACTTTAACCCTTTTATTAAGTTAGTTTGTTTGATTACAACATAGTGTATCATAGAGATAGTGTAATACTCTCTATAAATGTGTATCAAAGTCAGAGGGAATTGGGTAACCTCCATGTTAGTTGATTTTAGTGTAAGGTATTATGAAAAGATACAATAGACTCCATTTTATGATTGTACATCTCTTGAGCTGATTATATGTAGTTGAGCTAATTACCCCTGTCACATTAAGTAAAAATGGAGGTAGTTTAATAATAATACTTGTAATTAATCAATTTATTGTATCAGGTGGATGTAAAATCTTTGTACTTTTGTTTTAAGTGTGAATCTATTGATTGTACATTATTTAGTGTATGCAATGGATATAAAATCTTTGTACTCATGTTTTAAATGTAAATTTATTGAATGTACATTATTTAGTGTATGTAGTGGATGTAAAATGTTTGTACTTCTGTGTTTAAGTGTGAATCTATTGATTGTACATTACTTTAACCCTTTTCTTAAGTTAGTTTGATTCATTATAACATATTTTGCCATATCTTTAGTGTAAAATTCTCTTTTAATTTCAATTAAGATTAAAAACATTCAACTGCCTTCAGGTTACTTGAGTTTATAGGTACAAAGTTGTAATTTGTATATTGTGTGCATGCATTATGGATGGAATGCATGAGGGAAGATTATGAAATGGGGAAATAGCAGGAAAATGAAGTATTGAAATAGTTCTGAGCAAAAGGTTATATGATAACTGATTAATAATTGTAATAGAGCAAAATGAGAACAAGATAAAGACAGAATCAAAACAGTTCTTGTTCTATTGTTGATTAAGGTTGTGAATCTCACTTCTCCTGTTCCTGGCTCCACTCAACAAATGTCAATCACTGACTGGAGCCCAGGAGTACAGGAAATAACTTGTTTCCAACGAATAAGATGGTCTCAGTGAGATTTACAAAAATTGTTGTGACGTCATAGGTTATAACAATATCAGGCATGTTGCAGCATGATTGCATTGCATTTATTTCTTAGGGCTCGGGAAGTAGAAACCTTGAATAAATGTTGAAAAACAATCCGACAAACATTAAGGCTAATCGTCGAGATTATGAGAGAAAATAATAATAATAATAATCACGACGACGATGATGATAATAATAATAATAATAATTCGCTTTACGTTTAAATCACGAGCATGAAGACTTATATATATTTGTAACTCTAGTAAGATTGTTTTTTTTTGCGTCCCCTTTCTTGTAAAACTTTAATAATGATAATGATAATGATAATGGATTACAGTCAAATGATAAACAAAATAATAATAATAATAATAATAATAATAATAATAATAATAATAATAATAATTTTTAAAGTTTTTAAATAATTTTATTATTTAAATTTTTTATAAATGACTAAATTAAATATTTAACTGTTTTTTTATTTTCAAATACATTTCGGCGCCATTTTTAATTTCATAATTTAAAATTTTAACGCTTTAATGATAATAATAATAATAATAATAATAATAATATCGATGAGGCGAATTATCTAAAAAAAAATCTCTAACGTTATAAATGGGTAATGAAAATTTATGGTTGTGATTACCGGCGGTAAATCAATTTTTCTTTGGCGGCGGGTTTATTTTTTAGATGTCAAAGTGATGTACAATTGTTTGAATGCTTCGGTACCGGACGCGTTAACTTCGTAACCGGGTGCTTCCTTTTGAATTCTCGTATACCAAGATTGAACGTTGGGATATTTTTCAATCGGGTATCCTAAAGCATCGCACGTGGATATGCTCGCGGCTAAAGTCAAATCCGCGATGGTCATGTTCGGACCCGCAGCCCATTTTTGTCCGTCGAGAAAATTGTTTAAAACTTCGAAAGATTGATCGAGTTTTTCCTTTTTCGCAGGTTCCATGGGACCTCTTCCGAACATGTAGGGGTACTATTAAAAAAAAAAAAAACAATTATTATTTTTTTATTCCAAACGTTTGTTTTCTCTATGATATGTATAATGACTTCATTACTTACGTAATAATCTCCTAATCTCGGGTAAAGGTTAGTGGCATCGTAAAACAATCTCTGATCGACGAGTGCTCTTTGTTTAATATCTTTCGGATAAAGTTTGTCGTCTTTTCCGTATTGATCGACGAGGTAAGCCATTATGGCACGACTGTGCGCAACAACGCATAAAAAAAATTAATTTTTTTGTGTGTAAAACGGAACCGGAAATCGGCGCCGGTATCGAAAAATCAAATTTCCTCCTTACCTTTCCCACATGCAAAAACCGTTGTCGATTATCGTTGGGATCGTGTGTTGAGGATTTATTTTTAAAAATTCGGGTTTCAAATGTTCACCTTTCATGAGTTCAAGTCTTTTAAGATTCATTTCGAGTCCCAATGCTTTGGCGGTAAGAAGTACGGCCCTGCACGGTGGACTTCCGGGAAGGTAGTAAATATCGATGGGCATTTTACTTTATCTAACAATAAAAAAAAAAAAAAAATTTTAATAAGTAATGATATTAATAATAATTCCAGGAGCATGTTTAGTCTGTGAAAAATTTATCACTTTTTTGTACACTTTACGGAATACTGATAAAAAAGGGTGAATGACCTCAAAACAAAACAAAAAAAAAAGTTTTCTTAGTCGTTTCGGCAACATCCGTGACCTACTCTTTTCAAATCAATGTTATTATCATTTTTTTTTTTTTTAATATTCCACCCATAAGACCAGTAGGAATTCCGCTCGCGGGTACCGACGGAATAATAATAATAATAATAATAAATCGAAATAAAATTATTTTTTTACGAGCTACCACTCTAATCGATAATTACGAAAAAATTTTTTTTTTTTTTGTAAAAATGATTTCGTCATAAAATATACGTTCGAGGGCAAAAAACCAAAATGTTAATAATGATTATTATTATTATTATTATTATTAGTAAAAAAATTAAAAAACCTTGAGTGTCGTAAACCGCAAACACGCACGCACGCACGGCCTAATTTCATCATAACCTATCATTGATTTTTTACTACCAAAAAAAAAATTTTTCTGTCGTTTATCGCAACAGCACCGACAACAAACAGGAAAAACCGTCAGTTTTCCTATTTACTTTTTCAAATGAAATTACTATTATGTTATTATTATGTAATTATACGAATTGTCATCATCATCATCTCTCTCTCTCTCTCTTTCTCTTTCTCTTTCGCTCTCTTTCTCGAAACGTGTTTTCTAAGACCGAATAAAAATAATTTAATTTTTCAAAAATATGAAACGCCGAAGTAAATAAATTAAAAATCGAATATTAATTAATAATTAAAATAATTATAATGATAATTAATAATAAATAAATCAATAAATTATTTCGAAATCAAAAATTCTGTCTCGCATAAATTTAATCGTTAAAAATATTTTTTTTTTAATATAAAATAATTTTACAGCAAAATTATTAAAAAAAAATTTATCGATATCGATATCGATAGTCGATAGTTAAATCGTTCGATTAAATAAGTAAATAAATAAATAAATAACTCACTTGTTTTATTATTATTATTATTAGAAAGAAAAATAAGAGACGACGTGTACAGGATACGATATCACAAAATCAAATGATAAACAAAACCATTTGCCAACCGTTAATATAATATATATATATAAAGGAAAAGTAAATGATGAAGCCAAATTCATGAAAACGTACGCGAATTTAATTAAACACGTTTCATTTATATTTAGTTTATGGGATCGATCGATTTTTTTATTAAATAAATTTTCTTTTTTTTTTTTAATGATTCATTTTAACGTGAACAGGTTTGACAACTTTTTTTTTTTTTTTTTTTTTTTTTTTACAATTTTTCTCAGGTTTTCTATACGGCTTCAATGTAATATTATCATTATCATTATTCAAATCTGTGCAAGAATGACTCATGTGTCTTTTCCCCCTCCCCTTTCCCCCCAAAAAAGAAAAAAATTCAAAGAAATTCAACAATTTTCGACCTTCGTCCCTTAAAATTCTTTTTAAAAAAAAAATTATCCCGGTGAAAAACCCTTAAAAAAAAAAAAAAAAAATTTCCCCGATCTGTACAGTCAATCATTCACTCATTCATTCATTCATTCATTCTTTTCTTCGTATCTCGATTGAATAGATGAAAAATTTGGGGAAAAAATAAAATTTTCTTTTTGTAGAAAAAGAAATAATATGATTTATTGTTGCGAAAGTTTATTGCGTTTATATATTTACAATCGGATTCACATCAATAATAATAATAATGATGATGATGATGATAATAATAATAATAATAATAAATAATAAGAAAACTAGAAAACAAATCAAATTTCCTCAGTAGTTTTTCAAATAATAATAAAAAATTTTTTTTTTCCTAAGGTGATGAAACCAGCGACGTTTGTAGGTTTCGATTACTTCCGGTTTGAATTATTTCAATCGTAGGTACGACGTCCTTGAATCGACGTCTCGGGGGGACGGGTTTCTTCCGACCTTTGATTTTTTTTTATTTTTCAAAAATTAAAAAAAAAAAAAAAAACCATTTCCTCTATTCGACTCGACAAAAAAAAGTGGACAACGAAAGGGTAAAATGATGGGATTCTTTGGGTGACCTTTGCCCTCTTTACCCTAGCCTTCCCCGCTACCTCACCCCCAACCCCTCCCTCATCCTCGATCCCTTTCGGTTGCCTTTTGCAACCGTTGTCATATATATATTTATATTTTCAAAATTTATCGTTTCGCAAAACGAAAAAAAAAAAAAAAACAAAACAAACATTATTATTATTATCATCATTATCATTATTATTTCGTTGTTTATGTTTTTCAATTTATTCGTAATTCATTGCCTGACTCTTTTCTAAATAAGGTTGCACCATGTTTCCGATTAAATCGGCTCCCTTTTGATTTATTTCCTCGTAATCCAACATTTCGGTTTTGCATCTTTCGAACCAAGCCGAAACCCTTTCGTATTTCGAAAAATCGAATCCGCAAGCCTGAAAAACGAAAAAACCGGATATAGAGACAGATAGATAGATAGATAGATAGAGAGAGAGAGAGAGAGAAAAAAAAAATTTTTTTTTGTGCGTGTTTCTCTCCTTACTGACTTCGATCGTCGAAACCGTTGCCACGATCGAATAATCCGCAATCGTCATGACGTTTCCCGCCATGAACAAAGAATCACCCATGAAAGCTTCCAGAAATTCGAAAGCCTCTCCCAATTTATTTATTTTTTTCAAATCGATTCTATTCGAACCGTTCGGAATAAAAAATTCCTGGAAAAAATAAAATAAAAAAAATTTCATTTTCGAAACGTACGTTCGAGGAGGGCGATGAATACAGTCAACGAAAAAAAAGGATTATTAGTACATTGTTCGATTAAATCGAATCGAATCGAATTAATCGATCGATTCATTATCGAAATTCGTATTCGAACTCGCGTTTTCTTTTCTTTTTTTTGGGTTGCAAATTTAGTACGTGGTGGTAAAAAAAAAAAACCGAGGAAACCGCAACAAGGTCGTCGTCGTCTCATTTTTTTTATCAATAAGAAAATATATACAAATTTTTTTTTTTTTTTTTTTTTTTTTTTTTAACCGAAACGTCAATTCGATTAATCACGTCAAAATTTTCTATCGTGTCACTCACTCAATGTAAAAAATTTTAAAATTCTACTACAGCGACAGGAAAAAAACAAATTTAATCACGTCAAAAAAATTACGGTCGTTTCGTACCTGAAATGAAAACGAAAAAAAAAAAAAAAAAAAAAAAAAAAAAAAAAAAACGGTCGTGAAAACATTACGCGAATTTTTAAAATTATCATTATCATTATCATTATTTTTTTTTTTTTTTTTTTACAAGGAGGGGGGGAAGTTTTTTCTCCAGTTCGGAGGATTTTTCCTCCTAATCTAGAGTTCTTTGTATCATTATAGAAAAAAAAGAAAAAAAACTCCCACGAATATCGATCGATATTATAATCGACAAACTTTTGCGGGGGCAAAAAACCTTCCATTTCCTTTTACTACTCCAAATTCATTTTTGTATTCGAGGGGGGAAGGGGAGGGAAACATTTCCCGAAGGACATCAACGACTCAATTTTTTCTTTCTGAAAAATTATTAGAAAAAAAAAAGGAAAATTTCTCACCGAATATGTGTCGTAAAAACGTGAAGACAGAGTTCCTATGTCGAACATGAGCCTTTGACTGATGACTCCTCGAGTTTTCGCATCGTTTGGATAATAAATCGAATCTCGATCGTATCGTTCGGCCAAATAAACGAGAATGGCTCGACTTTCCGAAAGTACGTATCCATCGTCAATTATCAAAGGTATCGTGTGTTGAGGATTCAACTGGAAAAAACAACAAAAACAACAACAGTTGGTGAAAAATTTCATTACGGACTCTTTCGTTATTTTATTATTATTATTATTATTATTATTATTATCTTTAATAATCCCTCACCTTGAGATAATCCGGAGATAAATTTTCACCTTTTAACAAATCTATTTTTTTCATTACCGGATTTAAATTTAATTCTTTAACGAAAAGTAAAACGGCTCGACACGGTGAACTCATTTCGTAATAATACAATTCCATTTTTTATCCTGTAATAAAAACACCAGAAAAAAAAAAATTTCAAACGTTCGAACGTTCCATTTTTTCCTCCCCTCCCCTCCCCTTCTTATCACAGAGTAAAAAAACAAATTTTAAATTTTTTCTGTTTGCGTTTCCGTTTTTTTAAAAAAAAAAAAATTTTGTAAACATTAGACAAAAACAACAACAAAAAAATATACAAAAATATAAATTGTAAGTGTTTTACAACTCTCTCTTTCCTTTTACTTCGCATTTATAAACCAAAAAAAAAAAAAAAAAAAAAAATATGGACGATGACGCGGTTGTCAAAGCCACGAAGAGCAAAGTAGATGCGGCCAATAAAGTCCGAGACAATTACGTTCAACTCGCGGAAAAAATGGAACAAGTTAAAAATCAAGTTGCCAAAATGGAGCGGAAATACGACGAATTGTATCAATCGGTGAAAGCCAAAGAACACGGGTCTTCTCGGAGTCGGGGTAACGTGTCCGATAGCGGATCACAAGAGGATAATAAAAATCAGAGGGAAAGCATCGACGACATAACAATCGCTTTGCCTAAAAACAGACTACAACAACAACAACAACAACAACCCTCGGACGATTCGAACGCTCAACAATCTTCGGCGACGCAAAAAGAAAAAACGGATTCGAGTCAAAAACAACAAAACGTCGATTATGAAAAAATGGAAGACAATCCTTTTTTGTGAGCGAGAGAGAGCGAGTAAGAGAAAGAGATGGAAAGAGATAAAAAGAGAAAGAGATGAAAAGAGAAAAAAACTAAGTAGAAAAAAAAATGAAAAATAAATATATAAAAAACAAAAAAAAAAAAAAAAGAAAACCTGGTAAATAATAAAATATTACCTACATCTTTACTTTTACTCTCTTTGCCCTTTGCCCCCCTCCCCCTTTTTTCTTTTTTTTTTTCAAGCATAAATTTATCATATAAAAAAAACAAAAACTGGAGAAAAAAAAACTTTTACATGTATTTTAAACAAAAACTTTTTTTTTTTTTTTTTTAAATAATAATAACTCGAGAGCATAAAATCATAAAAATTATTATTATTATCATTATTATTATTATTATTACGATTTCAAAAAGTTTCGCGTCGGAATGTGCGCGTTTCATATAAAAAAAAAGCGAAAGAGTTGGAAAATTTTTTTTTTTTTTTTCCAGGATATCGTAACCGATTTTGCACAACAAGATGATAGAAAATTTTTCCTTTATCTAAATTAATCGAAAAATTATTATAATTATAATTATAATTATTATTATTATTATTATTATTAATTAGTTAATTAATTAATTAATTTTATACATACAGAGGCTACTGTGAGGTGAAAATGTCGACCCCGGAAAATGATAAATAATCAAATTTTACCGATTTTTCCCTTTTTCCTTTTTTTAACTCGATTCCTTCGAGGATAAGTTTCCACAATAATAATAATAATAATAATAATACTAATAATAATAATAATACTTAAACGACAGTCTAACCAATCGAAACATTAACCGCGAATGCACCTTTTTTAAATTTTCCTTTTTTCCTTTTTTACTTTTTTCCCAACGCGGAAAAGAAAAAATTATGAAATGAATATTTATTTCGACTACAAATCGTTCAAACCGTGAACAGTAACAATAATAATAATAATAATAATAATTTTATGTCAATTTCCTTCTTTTGTCTTTCCATTTCCTTTCACCCCTTCTCCACCTCCCTCTCTCTCTCTCTCTCACTCACTCTACAGTCTTCCTTTCCCTTTTTCCAACCGGTCAATTTTCAAGTCGGAAAGGGAAAATTATACCCTCCCGAAAAAAAAAAAAAAATATGGGAGAATTTCGAAATCAATAAGCTTTTTTTTTTCTTTTTTTTTTTTTTTTTTTTTTCCAAAAGTCCTTTTTTTTAAATAATAACGATTTAACCGGAAAAACGATTTAGTCGAAAAATAAACGGTTAACGTTTTTTGTTGTTATGAATAATAAACGAACATTAAATGTTTAAAAAGATTAAAGCCCGAAAAATAAACGGAATGAAAAAGAGAGAGAGAGAGAGAGAGAGAGAGAAATTTTTTTTTTCAAATCGTTAATAAGTAAAAGCTTTTAAACGAAGTAAAAAAAAAAAAATTTCAATACCATTTTCCCGTCTCATGTTTACGACTTTTTCCAAATTACAGAAAAAAAAAAAAAAAAAAATCGATTCGTTCCAGTTTTTTGTTTCCTCCCTCCATCCCTCCCCCTCCCCCCTTTTCTCACGCAACAGAACTATTTCGATCATTATTATTATTATTATTTTTTGCAAAAACAAAAAAAATAAAACCCCTGGATATATTGTGTGTTATTTTTTTAAAAAAAAATGGCGGTCGTCAAAATGCATATTGTTTAAAAAAAAAAAAAAAAAAGCATAAAAATTTTTTTTTTTTTTTTTACGACTTTTCCACCGGGATAAATATTAAGTTACCTCATTTAGAATATGGCGGTGGCGGCGGCGGTGGTGGTGGTGGTAGTGGACGTGGCGGAGTCTTTTTTTTTGAATTCGTAACGAATGAAATTTTGATCGTTTGAAGGATTATGATCCGAGTGCGATTTAACCGTCGAAAAAGGTTTTCTACCTCCTCTTCTGTTTATTATGCTCAGAGTTGGATGATTTTTAGTAAAATGTTTCGTGAGAGTGAATCTTTGCGAATAAGTTTTCCCGCAATCGGGTACCGGACAAATGTGTTTGATACCCGTGTGCAAAACCATGTGATCCCTTAACGTTTTCGATATGGCAAATTTTTGACCGCAAACATCGCAACCGTATCTTTTCTCCTGATGAGTCTAAAAAGCGAGTCGATAAAAATTAACGTTTGATAACAACAACAGCGACAGCAAATTTAAATCGTCATATATACTTTATTGTGACTCCATAAATCCGATTGAGATTTGAATGAGGACAAACAAACGGAGCATTTATAGGGTCGAACATTCGAATGCCTCAGCAAATGTTGTCTCAAACCGTATGCATGACTGTAACTTTTGTCGCATTTGTCGCATTTGTGAATTTTTTGTTCATTGTGAAGGTGAAGGTGTTTGGCGTAGGCTGCTATCTAATGAAAAACAGGCAAATTAAATGGAATGATTTTGGGCCATGTGAAATACGTGTAAATAAATTATTTACGTGTACGAAAGCAGCCGCGCAAATATTACAAACAAACGGTCTGTCGCCGTTATGTATGCTTATGTGTTCGATTAGATTTTTTTTCGTCGTGAATTCTTTACCGCATTCCGAACATAGGAAATTTTTTTCTTGCTTGTGCCTTTGCAGGTGCACTTTCAAACCGCTGCTCCATTTAAACGACTGACCGCATTGATCGCAAACGTATGGCCTTTTTTCATCGTGAACAATCAAATGACTACTCAGTCGAACTCTGAAATCAAAATGCGATTATTAATATTTGCGTGAATACGATGTGAACCCCCCCCCGCCCTCCAATAAATGAATGGTGCCACTAACTTGTTTTTAAATTTTTTCCCACAGATTTGACAAAAAGCTCCGGTTTCGTCGTGAGTTTTTTTATAATGAGCATTTAGTTCACCCTGTGAGAATAAAATTTTATTACACTTTTTACACTCGTGCTTCTTCGTTTCATCCCTTTCGTACGACCCGTGTTTTCGATTCAGGTGACAATTTAAACTTTTCAAACTTGAAAATTCGTAATTTTTGCAAAATTTTGAATTTTTACATATTTCGCATATGAATATATCCGGCATGGAATCGTGCCAATTTTTATGCTTTTTCAAACACTTGAAAGATTTAAATGATTTATTACATTTTTTACAAAATAATTTTGCATTAGGATTTTGTTTTTTCTTTATAACAGCTTGCATTTCTTCTATGTCAATATTGCACACTTCACCCTCAGCCAGGCGTAGATATTTTTCATCCACTTCCTTTTCATTAAACAAAAGATTATTTGAATTTTTTTTGCTTGGAGTTTTTTTCCTCCTATCGACATTACCATCTTTGATCATTGTATTGGATGATGATTCTTGATCGCTACATTTCGAATCAGATAAATTATTAACATTATTTAATTTTTCTGGAATGTCGTAGAATGGAGTTTTGATTTCGACAAATTCAATAGGTTGTAATTCATGATCGATTGTTGTCTTATCTGCATCTTGAAAATTATCAGAATTGGATTTTAATAGAATTTCAGGGATCACTTTAATATCGCAAAATTCTGGAGTTGTTAATTCTTGCACATCGATAATTTTTAATTTTTCATCAATGTTTTCAGTTATGATTTCTATCTGCGGTTGTTTGACATCTTCGTAACTTTGTGACCGATTACAAATTTGTTCGGATATTATTTGTATTAAATCAGGTTGTTGATTTTTATTGTTGTTTGCATAATAGTTTGTTTCATTTTCATCGACAACTTCTAATTTTAAATTGTTTATCACGTTTAAATTATTGTAATTTGTCGAATCTGAATCCTTGAAGGATTCTATTTCGATTTGAGCATTGTAATTTTCATGACAATCGGTATCTAAATATTCTTGTTTGATTTGTGTTACCTGAAAATAACAATGATGAATCAAATAATTATTTCACATGTAATGATTTTTCTAAATTTCATCTTGATATATGTAGTACATACACATAACTTATTGGTCGAACTCACTGATAATAACTTATACAATTTTTCTTCTGCTTTGTTACACTTAATTCGAAAACTATTGAATTGTTCGACTAATTTTTGACAATCGAAACAAATTATTTTAGGCAACATATCTTCTGGTGAAATCTGAAAAATGAAAAATTTTGAAAAGATGAAAAACAATTCTTTTTTTTTTGTACAATTTAATAAGAATTTCAATATCGTTACTTGAACAGATAGGCAATTTAAAATTTTATTCAGTAATGAATTTGCATCATTTTCATTATTTTCCCCATTGAATAAATTAAATTTATTTTTTTTTTTTTGTGCACATAAACGACAGAGTTCATAAAACTGAAGCATGATTATAATTAAAAAAAAATTTTGTACATTTTAAAAATATACGTTTATAAAAATTTATTTTAAATTAAAAAGATTTGTATAAATTTAAAAAAAAAAATTAACGTTTTTTTTTTTTTTTTTTTTTTTTTAACTACTGCATTAATTAGTTTCATTATAATCGTTATTTATCTCGTAAAAAAAAAAAAAAATTACATTATAAAAATTATTTATTATTATTGAAACCCCCATTTTGAACGCAGTGTGTGTGTGTGTGTGTGTGCAGAAGACGGTTGGAATAATCTACTTCCACGTCTGACAGACGACATTAGTGTCACTTGGTTTGAAATTTCTAACGGTTTAGAACGTGAAGAATGAAATTTCAAATGAGTTTTTTTGTCCTTTTTGCATTTATTACGTGAGTGTTTGAGTGATAATTTTAATTGTAGTTTTTTATTTATTTTTTTCCGTCGTAAACTTTTTTATTGTGAAATTTAAGTTTATTTCGATAAGTTATGTAGTTTTTATTTCCACTGAAATATTTAATTTTGCTTTTTGGATTTACAATAATTATGTTTAAAATTTATATATGTATATCGTTTAGTGAATATAAATTAACAAGGAAAACGCAATAATCGTCAACGTTTTTCTAATTTTGCAAAAAGGAAAATTTTTTGTTAGGGAAATAATTATTAGTACGCAATCAACGCGATAGAGCGCAATGTGTTTGTTTTTCAAACTAAAAATGTGAAAAACGACGCGTACCATCCAATCGGCCGCATGGCGATTCCTTTAGTCGTTCGCTTCTAAGCTTCCGGTACAAATACGTTAACGGTTTTTTTTTTTCTTTTTCTTTTTCTTTACTATCTCGGGAGTAAAAAAAAAAAAAAAAAAAAAAAAAATTAAAAAAAAACGTTTCGCGTAATTTAAAAATTTTATCATAAAGTTCAATTCAAAAATGTTGTTTCGATTTTAATTTAAAATGATTAGAAATTATTTGTAATATTATTTGCGGAAACAAAAAAAGAAAGAAAAATGATCGTTAAAAAGTTCATTAAAAAAAAGAATTAAAATTAACGGAAAATTTAAAGGAAATCGGTGAGTAATAAAAAAAAAAAAAAAATTTTAATTTAAACTAATTGTAAATTATTAGTAATAAAATTTTACATAAATTTATCGAAAATTTAACGTAATGCAAAATAATATTTGACGAGTGTGTAATTTAATTTATTTGATAAAAAAAAAAAAAAAAAAAATGGTGGTTGAATCAAATAAAGAACCGTAAAAGTGTGGGGAAAAACGACAACAACAACTTTTTTTTTTGTCAAACGACATCATCATCATCATCATCATCTTCATAACCATCATCTCCATCATCATCATCATCATCATCGTCATCATCATCTGGTAATAAAAATCAGTGAGCATAAAACAAGCTTTAAATTTAATCTAATACACTTGCTTATTTAATTTTTCTATTTTTTTTCTTCTTCTTCTGCTTTTCCTTTGTAAATAATGTTCGCAATTTTTTGTTTTGTTTTGATTTTTCCTTATTATTATTATTATTATTACTTTTTAGTTTTCCGTCATCCTTTTTTTTAATTTATATTTTTCGACTCGACCTCGATAATTCTTATCCTTTCCTAATTATCTTTTCCATTTCGTATTTTCCTGAAATTTTTTTCAAAACATAATCATCATCATTATTATTAATATTATTATTATCATTATGGATGAGAGAGAAAAATCGATAATCCTTTTTTTATTTATTTATTTATTAATTAATTATTACCACTCGAGTTTAGTGGAGATATTAATATGTTATTTATTATCGGTCACGTTGTTAATGGGAAATGCGTGTTGCGTGTGTGTGTATTACGTCATCACACATGGGAAAACGATATTAATTATATACATATATATATATATAATTGGATTCGCGCGCGTGTGTGTGTGTGTGCGAGTGCGTGTGCATGCAATGCGTGACGTGAAATGAAATATAAAAAAATAATAAAAAAATAATAAAAAAAAGTTAAAAACGTTGTTATATTATTCAGGAGTTTTTTTTTTTTTCGGCGGGGAGGGAGGGTAGAAAGAGACAATAATTTTTTTTTTTTTTACGGGGGAGAGGGTAGAGAGAATTTCGTTCGATGAATCGTATGCGTGTGTGTGTGAGTGCGTGAGTGCGTACGTGTGTTTTAAAATGAAAATTACATTGCATAATAAAATTAATTTTAAATGTGGAAGAAGAAAAAAAAAATATATATATATTTTATCCATGTGTTTCTCCCATTTGAAACTCGTATAAAATAATATTAAAATTTGACTCGAAGGCTATTATAAAAAATTCATTAGGTGTTTTCTACAGAATTTTATTTATTTTATTTTATTTTTCCGGATAGGGTAGGAGAAGGGAGAGAGGAGAGGAGAGAAGAAATGGGCGGTAATGGCGCGGGGGAGAGAGAGTACGGGTTTGAATTTATTAACGTTTAACGATACGTGAAAAACTTTTCTTATTTTTCGTTACTTTTGTGTAAAAAAGTTTTAAGTCGAAGTCGAAGGTTGTGTTTGTTGTTAATAATGAATTCGACATTAAATATTTGTGAGATTTCGATACGTGAAAAAGAAAGAAGTTTAAGTCGTATTTTATTTTATTTTATTTTTTTTTTTCAAATTTTAAATTTTAAACTTTTGGTCGGTTGTCTTTAATTTCCTTTTAACATTATTAAAAATTGTATTCAAACAAATATTTAAAGTCGAATAAATATTTTTAATAAATTTTTATGCCATGTCTCCAGATATCTCGAGCCCTTTTTAAAAGGTTTAGGTACTTTGTAAAATATTAATGAAAAATTTTTTTAAAAAATAATTATCATCATTATATATATATAATTCAGTCGAGTCGACCATTTTGGACGAATTGTGTGTCCGGACGATTTAAAATTTTTTGTTTATATGTTTGTGAGATGTTCCCCATGAGACATTTCTTTATCCTGTGAGTTTCCTGTTTGTGTGTACGAGCCCTTTGATGCTTAAGGATTTTGTGTTACTTAAGGCAATTACATCCTTGTAATACACATAAAAGATTTACGAGAATGAAAGCACGTCAAATTCCTTCCTTTCCTTTCATCTCCCGCCAAAAAAACATTTCTCCGACCTTTTTTTTTTTATTTTTTTTTTTTTTATCCAACAAAATTTAATAAAACAAACGAGAGAAATTTCGTTTCGCATCAAAACAAACTCTTGCAAAATCGTGATTTAAAAAAAAAAAAAAAAAAAAAAAAAAGGAAAAGGGAAAAGGGAAAAAGGGAAAATTTTCATCCCGTGTAATTTTTTTTTTTAAAAGTAAAGGAAAAGGTTTTCATCATTCGTTGCACACGAAAAAAAGAAAATCATTTAAAATAATTTTGTAACAACTCAACCGTCGCACTTTTCTCATTAAATATTTTTTAGAAAAAATTTTATTTACGTATAAATCATTATATTAATTATATAAATAAATTATATTTAAAAGCGTTTACGTAATAAAATTTGTTCTTAATAATTTTAATTTTCAGTTATAATGATAATAATTTGCGTTCGCCGTTTAAATTTAAAAAAAACTAACCGGACGATGGATTTTTTTTTCTCTACTACCCCCGGGCAAAATAAAAAAATGAAAAAGACGAACGAAAAAAAGGAAAAGGGATGTGGGGAGGGGGCGGGGTGGGAAGGTAGGGGAGGGTATCGAGTAGAAAGGAAAAAAAAAAAAAGGCCGAACGGTTCTGAATAAAAATAAAATAAATTAAAAAAATTAAAAAAAGGTTTTTATTTTATGTACGTAGTACATGCACGCAAAAAAGTAAATAATTTTTTTTTTTTTTTTTTTTAAACTTTTTAAATTGTTTTTTTGTTTTGTTTAAAAAAAAAAAAAAAATAAAACAAAACAAAACAAACAAGTACGTGGGGTAACTATGTCGTAAACCTTTCCCCCAAAAAAGAAAAGGTTAATGTTTATATTTTTACAAAAAAAAAAAAAAGAAAAAATTCGCATTAAAATTAGAACCTTTTTTTTATTCGAAAAAGAAAAAAAAAAAAAAAAAGGAAAAGATGGTGGGATCGAATAAAATAAAATAAAATAAAAAAAAAATTTTCTTTCGGTTTTAAGACAACAACAACAACAACAATGGGAAAAGCCGGAAAAAGCAATAAGCACTAAGGCAAACAATAGGAAATTTATGCCTTTCCTAAAAGATGCCAACAGTTGCTCCTGCTCCCTCTCTCTCTCTCTCTTTCCCACTCTTTCCCTCCTACTCCCGTCATTGAAAAAAAAAAAAAAAATTTTATTTTATTTTTCTTCATTACGTACCTTTCGTATCACATAATTATTATTATTATTATTATTATTATTATTATTATTTTTCAAATCCCGCGACGGTTAACTTTTCCTTTTTCCTTTTTTTATTTATTTATTTATTTATTTTTTCCTATGACGTTCTTAAAAGCAATTATTTATTTTACTTTTTCTTTTTTTTTTCTTTTCTTTCTTTCTTTCTTTCTTTTTTTCTTTTTTTCTTTTTTTCTTTTTTCTTTTATTTCATTTTTTTTTAGCAACCAGTCATTCATTTCATAAAAAAAAAGGAAAAAAGAAAAATAATTCTAGATTTCTCTTTTGTTCTAAATTAGCGTGTTTCCCTCTCTCTCCCTCTCTCTCTCTCTCTCGCACTCTCAGTTGTTTGTTTTGTAAATTGATGAGTTGAGGTTTTTTTTTTTTTTTTTTCATCTCGAAAACAAACAAACGAGCGAAACAAAACGGAATTTTTTTTTTTTCAATTTATTTTTAATTCGTTTAAAAAAAAAAACGAACTCGTTTTGTATACAATTCGATATATATATATATATATATATATATATATATATATATATATATATATATATATATATATATATATATATAAAACACACACACACACGCACACGCATTACATTAATGTTTGTCGTGTTAGTGACGGAAAATCCCACCCCCCCCAAAAAAAAAAATACGA